TAAAGTAATGCTACCTTTCTTATATTTTCTATAACGTTACACGCATTGTATTTTTTCATAGTCTTTTCATAGAACACATTTAATATTATTTACATACATAGCTTTACTCGACATATAACCACTAAAATAATTATTAAAATTGTACAATGCTATTTACCATCAGGATACATCATGAATGAATATAGTCACTAGTTTTAAGTAATAAACAACTGTGTTTTCTTTCTCTGTACATGCCTGGCGCCCAATATCTATTTCTTTGTTTACTGTTATTACTTAATTTTCTTTCCAGTGAAATACCTTATCCACGAGTGCTCTCCTATGAAAAGCTGCCGTTCGCAGTGGTAATGTTTTATAAAAAACGCTACAATATAGGTATTTACTTTTATTTTATTTGTAAATATTTATTTCTAAAATAATCCAATAGGTCAGTTATAAAAATGGTATGGTATAACAAACCCAACATTGTTGTATTTATTTAAATTATCATTTTGAAAAACTTTGCTCCAATACATGCTTCAAATTTAATACAACTCGCTATACTTGAACCGTAAAATGAGACATAAACCACTAAAAGTAATAAATACAATTATCAATAACATAAAAACGCCAATAAATTTCCCAATAAAATATAAATCAAAACCAGAATATAAAAAGCTTTTAAACTGATATCAAAGCCTCCTATATAGTATTTATATTATCTATACGAACATATTATTGTCTATATCCAACAGAAGCAGTTGCTGCTAACAATAAAAAGCCAATTAAAATGTTTAAATCGCGAAATCTATACGCTGCAAATGTGTTTGCTCAGTCAAAACACATAATTTATATAAATTTAATGGGTGGGTGGACAGCTCCACCACGATCAGATAGAATTTCTATTTGTCGGGGTAAAAACGGTTCAAGCGGACGTCCATGTGGAGGTATCGAATTTTCGAATATAAATTAAGTTTTGAAATTCGTCAGATCGGATTATTAGATAGTTAAATCCTATAAAAATGACTAGGACAAACATTTAATCCTAAAATCTTGACATATTAATATTTACAGGTCTCAAAAAATACCAAGCACATATGAATTAATAATTATAAATGCAAATATTTAAAAAAAGTATTGGTTTGTAATAGCACTAATGCATTCAATCTCTTGAAAAAATCCTAGGTTTTTGACACTGGAAGAGAAATCTAAGACAATTCCGTTTGCGGAGGAAGGAACTTAGCTGGACCTCCCATCTGGAAAAAATATCAAAAAAGGCTTGCTATGCTCTATAGGTGTGCCGCCGAATTTGTGGCAGAAACTGGGGATTAAATCCTAAAAATATGTACTGGCTATACGTGACAGCCATCAGACCTATTATCACGTATGGCGCAGTTGCCTGGTGGCAGAAAGCTTACCAAACAACGGCAAAGAATGAATTGTCAAAATTACAATGACAAGCATGCTTAGCGGTGACTGGTACCTCTCATTCTACGCCGTCAAAAGCTATGGAAACCCTACTCGACTTACCTCCTCTTCAAATTCTTTTGGAGAGAGGGGCGAGATGGGCGATGAGAGCCAAGAAACAATCATATTCGTACAAAACCGACTAGTAGACGAACTACAATCGGATGAGATTCTGGGAATGGACCCGGATCTCACACCACCAATCCAACTCTTGACGCGCACCTACAACGTCCTGTTTCCGAATAGGGACGAATGGGATAAGCTGAGAAACGGCTTATTAATAAAGGATCTGGCGTAGGTCAAAGACCGCAGCAGTCCAAAGACTGAGATCTACCACAGTCTTGGAAAACACACCACAATTTTCCAAGCTGAGCTATATGCTATTGAAACCTGTGTGCAACTGCTGGTAGAACAGCAATACACCGGGAAAACAATAACCAAACCTCGGTTTTAACGCAATACACAGAAGAACTAGTATATTCTGAGCTTTCAAAAGTAATAAACAAACAAACCGCCTGATATTAGTAAACCTTGTTTATGTACCTACATCCAATAACATAAATTATCGTAAAGTACACTCGGGTGTAAACACGTAACGGCCAGGTCAAAGGTCTGAAAACTAAAAATTATATACTGGTAGGTGCTATATGTAAAAACACATAACACAAATTCTCAAATGTAGGTCGATCCTTCGCACAAGTCCGAGTGGGCGTTACAGGTCAAACATTAGCAACTTTTACTCAAGATCTCAACTATTTAATCACCAAGTAATAATAACCAGGTTCCACTACATACATACATTATAATAAGCTCAGGTACAAAAACAGATAACATAAGAATCAGTCACCCTGTAAGTACCCTGTTTGCTGCTATACAAGGTGGTCCGAACTGTATTCCGGAAACTTCGGCAGCGTATTGTGTTTTATTTCGATTTTTTTCAAATAATTTCTGAAGTAACGTCAATATTTGGATGAAAATTGGTTTGTAGGAGTTTTTTGACATGAGAAATTTGATTTTGATGTCAAGATAACTCCTATTTGTAGGGGGCGCCACCTACATGTGATTTAACTGTTTTGAAAAGTAATAACTTTCCGTTCGTACCTGTATAAAACTACTGAGTGAAAAAATATACATCTCCATGACTTTTTACTTAAAAAATGTCTCTTAGTAAAAATCGCTACGAGCAACCGTTCTCAAGTTAATTAGAATAAAAATAGTCAGTACATGTCATTATTGACAAAAAATAAACACGTTGAGTAGAGATAGTTAAGCTTAATTTTCATGCGTCCGTTGTCCGACGATACGATGATACGATATTAATTTTATTGGTTGAATTTAAAGACTTCGGTTGGTTAGAAACGGTTAACCAATCGAAGCCTTTAAATACAATCAATGAAATTAATATCGTATCAACGTATCGTCGGACAACGGATGCATGAAAATCAAGCTTTATTCGACTGAAATAATAAATGTGGGAAATTTATATTTTTTTAAAAATTGAAAAAATGATGATAAAACAGTTTCTGATGAACTTTTGACACAAAAACATTTCAAATTTATGATTTTAGTCTAGTAACTATTTAGTCAACATGTTTAATTTATGTCAATAATGACAGGTATTGATAATTTCGATTCCAAATATCTCGAGAACCATTTCTGGTAGCGATATTTACCCAGAGACCTTTTTTACGTAAAAAACGTCATAAATATATATTTTTTTTTACTCAGTAGTTTTATACAGGTACTCTTCAAACCAGTTAAAAAATATGTAAGTGGCGCCCTCTAGAAGTAGGACTCATATTGAATCAAATTCTCATACCAAAAAACTCCCAGACACCAATTTCCATCCAAATATTGACGTTACTTCAAAAATTCTTTGGAAAAAATTGAAATAAAAATGAAACTTCTACGCCCTGTATCTCCGAAATTAAGCATGTTTGGACACACATTTATAGGAACTTTTTTATTTATTTTTATCTGTAGATTATGCTGCAGACGTTTCCGTAATATAGTTCAGACCACCCTGTATATTTTGAAGAAATCTTGAATTCTGACCGAATTATGACGTAGTATAATGTAGCAAAAATGACGTTTTGTTTAGTTAATATTATTGTTAATTGTTCTGTTCAAACAATGTGTTTTTTATATTATACAATATATTATTATTCTTCATTTTTTAAAAAAACAAAAGTCCTAGGCCCACCCTGTGCTCAACCCTGGATGAATTGCTAGTTACACTAATGGGTAATGGTGGTAATTCCCCCGACCCCCGACCACGAATAAATTGATAAATATGATAAAATTTGTTATAAAATAAAATTGATATAAAAAATTAATAATACCAATCAAAATAGATAATCCAGACCAATCCCAAGTTGATGTTTTTCCACAGTCACTAGTAATGAGCGAGACATGTCTAAGGTCTAGCTTTTTGTGCAAGACCATACCAAGACTACCATTAGACTATACCAAGACCGAAACCAAGACCAAGCTAGACTTTATCTTGCATTTGCTCATTACTAACAGTCTAACAGATTACAATACCTTTCAGCAAAAATATAATTTAAATATAGTAATATATAAGTAAAAGAATATGGATAGTGACCATATGTATGATAGTATTTTACAAATATTCATAAAATATTAAACATACACTAATAAAGTAGGGAATTGTATGTATTTTTATGTTCAGATTTTAATGTTGGCTACATAGAGTTACAAATTAAAAGTTGGCTAGCTCAAAATTAGCACTTTAAATAAAACGTCTATTTTATAAATGTACATTTTCAAAATTAAAACACAACACTAGATAAATAACAAATAACCATAAAAAACATCGATCAAAGATGGGTCGAAGAACTGACCTTGGAACTGTCCACTCTGATAGTATTATACATTATTATGTATTTATATTCTGTATTTGGAGAAAATGTTAAAAAAACAGCTGGTAAACAGATAACCAGCACTATATCAGAAATTAGAGAATATTTAAACATTCAACTCTTAATAATATATTCCTAAAAAATGTTATCAAAAGAAAACAAATGCTTTGTCAATCAGCTGACTGCAGTGACATTTAACACTAATCGCCCCGAAAATTATAGTATTTTTCTATTTAAAATCCCTAATATGTACAGCTAACAGAAAACATCTATTCTCTAAATACTTATTAATTTAACTCAATTATCCCACATATTGCAAAAATAAATAAACATTACTATACTGTCAAATATGAGTATTGGATGACGCACAACTAAACATAAACATTAATGACGCCTACCTGCTTGGATTAATCCCGCTGCAACTGACTGGTTCAGGAAAAATATATGCTGCACCCCATTGTCCAACAATTTCGTCATTTTAATCAAAAATATTCACTCACTTTTTCGCAAAAAATCACTAAACACATCCGGTTTAACAGCCATAGAAAAATATGGCAAATTGACATATAAAATTTTCGAGCACCATCTAGTGATAAAACGCTGAACTAGCGGATAATCAATTTTATATTGTAGGAAAAATAATTTATTCCGGCGCATTCGCCACTTTCCTGAAGTGACAAATTAAAAATGTACTAAAATAACTTTAAATTCTGATTAAACAATGAAGACAAGAGAGTGATATTATTAAAAAGAGATTTTTCTCTTTGCTGTTAAAATTAAAATGTCGTTTTTTATCAAACTTTAATGCTGCAAGGTAATATTAAAAGTACGTTAACAATGTAACTGTTTACTAAAATAGATATTTACAGTGTGATGTTCTAATAAATAAATACTGGAATGTTAATGCTGTATATCACTTAAAACTAGAAAACAATAAAGCTTAGTGTCCATAATAGAATTATTTGCTAATAAATGGTATTATGACAGGTAAAAAATAAATGATCATAAATCACTTTTTAAATCCTAAATAAATTCCAAGACAGATAAATATGATGAAACACAGTGCCACAAAATATAATATAATCCTTTGCTGAATTGTCCTAAAGATCATAGAGCCTAGTATTCGTGAAGACCTTCCAAGTTCTTCATCTGTTTCTCGCAGCTACAACAACATTTATAAAATTTAAGAATACAAAAATATAAATAATATATTACCCTATTTCTTGACCTCTGTATGGTCTCCCTTTGCTCTGATAAATTCCGCATTACTTGATTTCCAATCTCTTCTGTTTCTATTACTACTCTGTATCCTTCATTAAGTTTTCGACCTGCCCTCTCTAAAGTTTCAGAATTATCCAACAGTCTCTGTTTCTGATCAATAGATATTCTTACATCTGTATCTTCCGCACTATCATACAGAGCTTCTTGTTTTACGGATCTTGCCTTGATATATTCCAATGTTAATCGCTTCAATTCAGCCCGATAGCAATCTAACTTGGTTCTACACCTTTGTTTTTTCGATGACTCAACTTCCCTAACCTCCAGCTCCATTTGCTCCAACTAAACAAAACAATAAACTCTATTGATTACGTTAAAAGCGTTAACTATTTAGTTACCAGTTCCTGGGCTTCTTCCACATGTTTTTCGATATTTGATATAAGTTGGCGACGATCTTCTACGACAAAAACAAGTCACTGTCAACATTGTACTATGCCTAAAGACAAAACACGAACATTTTCGAACACAACAATTAACAAAAAATCTTACTTGATCCCGACGATGCCAATAAGCCTATTTGGGCAGTGATATCCGCAGTCAGGGCCGAGTATTGCTGTTCGTAGTTTTCAAAAAGTGAAACCATTTTCTATTTTTAATTCAGTAACCATTTTCACACCATTTTACACTAAAAATTTATTTCCACCACTCCGCTAATTGCATCATAACTTCATCATATCAGAGACCTCTGATCATATATCATTGATAGCAAAGGACTTTAAAAAGATATGATACGAATGCATATATCGCCATCTATACTTTGAAGGTAGAACAATAAACCCGATTTTACAGTTTTCTATACTAATAAAAATGAGGAACTACCACCACAGAATATCTAGCTACGCATCTACCACTCTCTACAGAGATGAATATTACAAATACACATTGTTTGCTACATTTGTTTCTCTATTATAAATTATAAATCGTTTAAGGAATGGTATACTAATTTATAAATTACCTGTATTTAAAAAAAACAAAAGAGATTTTTAGGAACTTTTCCTGAGGATCTATATATTGGCAGCAATGACGGCGCTTCACTGATTGTCAATATTGTCAGTTGTCAAAAACATCCTTCCGAAAATATTTTTTAGCAGGTTAGTTGAGAAAATTTTAAATCTCAAATCATCGTTGATTTATTTTAGTCAATCGACTTATAATGCGCAAAATATTGTATAAAATTTATCGCATTTTTCTTTCCAACAGTTATTTGCCCTTTACTTAATAAGGTTTATTTATTTTTAGGCCAAGATGGTCCAGCGACTTGTTTTTAGACGACGGCTGTCGTACAATACAAAAAGTAACAAGAGACGCATGTAAGTACTTTTTTATTATAATGTAAGCATTACTTCTTTTGTATTAAAGCCTTTATATAAATTGTAGTATTAAAATGTATGTTTTGATATATAAATTGACATCAAAATATGTGGTTAAGTTTTTGTTCTTTGGGCCACTGCATGATGATCTTTTGGCTAGAGTACTGATTGTATTTATACATTCATATGACGATAATATTTCGTTCGTTCAATATCTGATATACTTGTTTTTTTACTATATGTTTATTAAGCACTATTGAACATTGTATTAATATTTATTTTCATTTTAGTGTTCGTACTCCAGGAGGCAAATTAGTATATCAATACCTCAAAAAGCCCAAGAAGATCCCAAGATGTGGACAGTGCAAAGATAAACTTAGGGGTATTCAACCTGCCAGACCACAAGAACGTTCCCGTTTATGCAGAAGGAAGAAGACAGTAAAGAGGGCGTACGGTGGTGTATTATGTCACAAGTGTGTTAAGGAAAAGATTGTACGTGCTTTCCTTATCGAAGAACAGAAAATAGTTGTAAAAGTTCTTAAAGCTCAACAAGCTTCTAAGAAGAAATAATTGACATAATAAATTTTAAGTATAAGATTGTGTTTTTTTTAATGTAATATATAAATTTAAAAGTATATTTTTATTAATTTTATGCTTACTAATAATTTACTAGACTGTTTTCTGTTTATTTTTATTTTGAAGTAATTTTTAGTTACAATCTGTTTTAATTCAATGCTTTTTATTTAAGCTATACATAAGGGAACATTTTATACATATTGTTTTTAAATGTATAAAAATTATAAATGGATTAAATAAAAGACTTACTAAAACAAAATAATTCCAAATTAACTATATTTGAAACATACATATTGCATTAAATAAATTAAGATTACACAAAATAACAATTATTTTAAATAAAATAGCAAATGTTCTTATATAAAAAAGTAGAGAAACAGTTCAACATTTTGATTCAATAAGTAGGTAAATTCAGAATTATTGCTACTCCTTTTTTTTTAAGAAAAGTAGGGATTCACTACATTATAATATGTTTATTTAAAATTCTATTCTAATTTGTTTAAAAACGAATTTGATTGGTGTGCAAATTATATGCCTAAAATATGTCGCTTAACAATTTTTTGTCTTTACTATTTCTAGATATTTGCGATTTATTGGTATATCAGAAAAGTAATAAAACACATTTTTCATTATTTTTATAATCTTAACAATAATAATTATTGAACTACATTATAGAATAAATTAACAATAATTAATGCTCCCAGTGGCGGATCAGTGAGAATCAGATTTGCAGATTAAAAACATTAAAAATAATTTATGTAATAAACCAAATCATGTATAGTATTGTGGATTCTGCTATACAATAATGTTCAGTAACTGTTTTCTACATCACCAACATGACTATTCTTCATCTTCTATCTTTTTTTATACTGAAAAATTTTAATATACCAGACCCATTCTTTGTCATTTCCCATGGAAAACATAGGCGAAAAAATGCAAGCATCAAAAGATGACCGATACAGAAGAACAGATTTGTGTATATAGCTGTATCTACGAAATACAATATTGTAAAGATTTATATAATCAAATTTAATGTGTTTTGTAAGATGACAGTTAAACAATTTATATGGAAAAAGATATATAGAAATGTTTAACTGTCAAAGTCAAGGTATCTCTCTGATCATAGGGATAAAACCTCAATATAGTACATGATCGAAAAAAAACAGCGTCAACGATGGTATTCAAATGAAGATCGCTTTAATCTTATATGTAAAATTATATGGGGAATATCATCGATCGTCATTTCAACGCCAACTGGACGCCTGTTTTTTTATCACACAGAATATATTGTACTAAGATATTGTACTACACGATAAAAAACGGCGTCAGAGATGGCTTGGAAATAAAGATCGTAGTGTATTATAATTTCAGAGTCAAGTGGACGCTGTTTGTTGTTGATCATATGGTATGTTAGCGGGGAAAAGCCTGACATTTGGAAAAATAAGTCCATATTCTCCTTATTTGAGACCCGCAACTGCATGTTTTTGTAAAAGTGTGGCTTTTTCATATCAGTTTCAAATAATTAAATAAATCCAACATGATAAAATTACAGAGTACGCACACCAACTTATGTTGTTCATACAACTAAAGAAAATCTTACGTAATAGGAATAATCGAAATTACACTATTGCTTGGTAATTATATAATCTTAGAAATAGTGTTTTAACTTGGACCATTCTTTGTAGGTATATTTGTCCATTTGTAGAGACGGCATGTTTCCATTTTTTTTGGACCCCGTCTTAAATTTTGAAAAATGGCCAATGGAGTGAAAAAGTTATTATTCTCTATATCAAAAGGATTGGCAAGAAATCGGATGTGCTTTTCTAAATTTAATCAATATCTTAACAAGGTAATGTGTAAGGTGCCGAAATATGCACGCAGATTTTTACGTTAGTCTCGTGTACATATCGTCTAATTGTGGCTTAAAGTAAGTCTTCAATTGTGGACGTTTGCTCTTCAGTGTCGGCGTGAGTAGTCCGTTTTGAACGCTGAACAGGTCCGGGTGCAGATAAATGTCTTTTACCTGGAAAGAAAAATAAATAAGAATGGTTCCTCGGTCATCATACAAATAGAATACAATCTTCTCGATTCAGCAGGCTTTCACTTTAACAGACAATAAAATTATAATATAATTTTTCCAATGAATGAAAAGACTACTACTACCAATAGAGTTTGACTTGATTTTTTCGTTTTTTTTTGCACTATTCTAAGAATATTTATATTATTTCTTGCTTATAATATATTGGTAATTGGTTTTATGCACAGTGTCTAAATCGGGAAAACATAAAAAAAACATCAATATAAAACTAAATTACAACCTTCTTAAGCCATTAAAAAATAAAGAAGAGTAAATTATTATTTATTATGTCACCAAAATTATTATTTATTATTTATTGTCATTCCCTAGCCGTCTCTGACGTCTTTTTTTTTTCGTGAGTATAATATGTATAGTATCATATACTAATATATAAAATCTTTAAGTGACTCACTGATTAATCACGATCCTGCTCAAACCACTCAACGTAAGAAGCTCAATTTTGGCATACAGGTTGATTCTAGGGTGTAGAGGTTCGATAAGAAGGGATTTTTCGAAATTCCAGTTCCAAGGGGGTGAAACCACCCCTCAAATATTACAATATTTTTTTATATAAAAAACGGTCACAAAACGGTCAACGCTTAAACACACGTACGTATATTTTATTTTCTTTTTTTTACATATTTTAAGATTTTTTAAAAATGTATACAGGGTGTTTCGAAAAATCTGGTAATTGATTAATCACGATCCTGCTTAAAGCGCTTGACGTAAAAAGCTGATTTTTGGAAAACGGATTGAGCTTAGGGTGTAGAGGTTCGATAAGAAGGGATTTTTCGAAACTCGAATTCTAAGGGGGTGAAACCATCCCTCAAATATTATAATATTTTTATTTAAAAACCGGTGAGTTTTTCGGAAAAACTCTTAAACACGTATATTCTACTTTGTTGTTTTACATATTTTAAGATTTTAAAAAAAATTATACAGGGTGTTTCATAAAATATGACCATTGAGTAATCACAATTCTGTTAAACTGCTTGACGTTTAAAGCTGATTTTTGGCAAACGGATTGACTGTGGGGTGTAGAGGTTCGATAAGGGGGGGTTTCTCGAATCTCAAATTCCAAGAGGGTGAAAACGCCCCTCAAATATTACAATATTTGTTATTTAAAAAACGGTTAGTCTTTCGGGAAAACGCTTGGACACGCATAATTTAGGTATTTTGTTTTTTTACATATTTTGAAATTTTTTAAAAAATAATACAGCGTGTTCCAAAAAGTTGGGTAATTGATTAACCACGATTCTGCTTAAACTGCTTGAGAAAGCTTTTTTTTTGGCAAACGGATTTTTCGAAAGTCAAATTCCAACGAGATGAAACTACCCCTCAAATATTACTAAGTTATATAATATTATCGCCATATTGTTTTTTCTTATGCTGACATAAATGTGAGCAGTTTTTATGTTAATGGAAATTCTTGCTTTGCTTTATCATCACCATTACAAATGATTAATTCGACGGGAACGAAGTCGCGGGTACACGCTAGTTTTCTATGTAAGTTTTACCTGTTCAAAAGATTTAAGTCCACCTTCCCTTCCTTTGGCTAACATATCGTCCATGATAAGTTGCTTGACTTCCGAATAGTTACAGAGAGTACTAAAAGTACCGGTGATACCATTCTCCTGAGCCCAGCATTTGATCACGTCTACGTCTGGAACTACGACAGCTACTATACACGACTACAGAAAGAATTTCATATTAAAAAAAAAACGAAAATATTTTGCGTTGAATAGTTTACTTTAAGTGATTCTCCATGAACGAAAACTTGAGCTATGTACTGCGACCTGATATAGATGTTCTCAATTTTTTCCGGAACTATGTATTCGCCTTGGGATAGTTTGAATATGTGCTTCCTTCTGTCGATGATTTTCAACGTTCCATTCTAAAAATATTACAAAAAAATATATTTAAGAAGCATAAACAGCCAGAGTAATTTTTAAGTTCTAGGTAAACTTTTAAAGGTGATTTCTGTTGTAAAAATTTGCCAACTTAATGGCCAGTGGTGTAACAGCCTGAACCTTTGGTGCAACAACTGGCTATCAAGTGTCAGCTGCAAGATGGCCTTTAGTTATGAAATATACTTAAAATAAAAAATTGGTTAAGTGCGAGTCGGATTCGCGCACGAAGGGTTCCGTACCATTCATTATCTATACAGGATGTCCGGAAATTAATGCAACAAATAAATTGGGTCATAGATTCTTGAAAAAAAAAATAGGTGACACGTATTTTTTATTTTTGGCCAGTGGCCCTTTTCGGATTTACAGCCCCCTGAATTTCGCCCCTAAAAAGATTTTTTTTTAATATCTCAGGGCCCTGTTGGACGAAAATCACTAAATTTTGTACACGTTGTTTTACCATAAAACTACATCTTTTGATGCTATTAACTTTTTTTTATTTTCATCAGTGGCGTCCCTACGGTATTTAAACTGAATTTTATTGAAGAACAAAATGGTACGCCACTGGTTTTTTTTTTAAATAAAAATTATTTTTAAAATCTACATTAAATTTGGAACAAATTTGATCTCTTGACTTTTTTTTGGTACGATGCACCGTTTTCGCGTAAAAAAAATAAAAATCATTTTCATACATGGCCAAATCGCCTAAATTTTAATGTAAATTTTCATAACAATATTTAAAAAACGGCAATTTAGGTTTTTGGACATTTTGGTTTGCACTCAGGTTATAAAAACAAGATTTTGGGAAATAAAGAATTATTTTAAACTTAAATTTGCCGTTTTAAAAATTTTGCTATTGAAATTTACGGTAAAATTTTAGCGATTTAGTCATGTATGAAAATGGTTTTTTTTACGCGAAAACGGTGCATCGTACCTAAAAAAAGTCAAGAGATCGAATTTGTTCCAAATTTAACGTAGATTTTAAAAATAATTTTTATTTAAAAAAAAACAGTGGCGTACCATTTTTTTCAAAAATATTTAGTTTAAATACCGTAGGGACGCCACTGATGAAAATAAAAAAAGTTTCTAGCATCAAAAAATATCATTTAATGATTTTCGTCCAACAGGACCCTGAGATATTAAAAAAAAACTCTATTTAGGGGCGAAATTCAGGGGGCTGTAAATCCGAAAAGGGGGGCTACTCGCTAAAAATAAAAAAACGGGTCATCTATTTGTTTTTTCAAGAATCTATAACCAAATTTTGTTGCATTCATTTCCGGACACCCTGTATAACATTAGACACTATATTATTAGTAATTAGACTATCGAATGGTTACTGAATGAATGATTTCAACTATCGAATGGTTTCATTCGAATAAAATCATTCATTCCTTTGTATACTAAAGCATATGTGACAACCTCGCCGTGCGACTAAATGGTTATCGTTAGCCACGACTATCGAATGCTTTTGATAAATGAAATTTAGTATTCGTTTGATTTTTGTCTGCGTCAGTGCATTATTAGTTCTTCCAAATTTTTATAACTTGTCTTCTAAATACTGTGCTATTTTTGCGTTTATTAAAATATTTAAAATACTAAAGTAGTAGTGTTTTTTTTTAAATTGACGATTGTCTACGTGTGCAGGTGGTCAAAATTTTTCCGAAAATTTGTGTGATTTTCCGATCTTTCAATTATTTAATTTTATACGGTATATAGTCTATTTTTTTAATGGGAAATTTTGAGAAGTAACAATTTTTAAGAGAGATGAGGTGAACTTACAATTAATTTTAAAAATACATATGTATTTGTATTTTAGATGTTTTAGTAATATGAATCAGTTGAACTTAATAATCATATTTAAGTAAGGTGGTAATGTAGTTAAGTAAATTGTTATCAAACTCAAATTTTGGGATAAGAAAATTAAATCGATCGATTAAAGTTTTACACGTGCCAATTAAAAAAAAAGTTAACGATATTTGTATTTTGTTTATGCTAATTCTCTTACATGTAGATTTTTGCGAAGCAATATTTCATTTATTTTTTAAAGTAAATGCCAGTAAAAGCAAATATTATTTTTAAATACTAATACAAAGTAATAAAAAGTAATACACATATATAATTTTGATTTCTAATTTTTTATTTATATTTTTCTACTATTACACTGCATGCTTAGAAAATTAATAAATGTTTATATTTCATGATTTTAAAATTTGTTGTTAATATAACAAATTAGTTCTGTAATTATTATTATTTAATAAACCAACGTTGCCACAAAAAATTTAGAGACTATATTATTTTTAAATAGGATCTAATATAAGTAATTTTGACTTCTAATTTGTTGTTTATATTTTGCTACTACTTAAAAAAAATGTTTATATTAAATGATTTTAAATTTTGGTGTTAATAGGTATAACAAATTATTACTGTTATTATTATTTATTATACCAGTTTTGCTTAAAAACATTAAAAATCATTTTCCTACATCCAAAAAAAAAAGTATAATTGCAGTGTAACAACAGAATATTAATAAAAAAAGTGCAAAATATATAGTCATACTATCCCTAACTAACTATAATACCAAAGAATAATATTCTTCGCTAATACCAACTAATACGAATATACGGCAACAGCGCCGTTCATAATGTATTTTCTGTGTAAATACTAGCACCTCAATAAAAAAAATAATGTGTCCTTATCTTTATCTGACTCAAAATCAAAGATGCCGGCTTTTTCATACCATTGCCACCGACCGCCGACCGCTGTCGGGTTTCTAGGAAAGAAACCTACGTCGCCGGGCGACAACTAAAATCCAGTTTATATTTTATTATAATCGATCCTGACGAATAAATGAATTTTACAAATGAATGAATTTTATAAATGAATGGTTTTTGCTACCGAATTAATATATTTCAAGGCAGATGACGCATCTATTCGATATTTTTATTCGAATAGTTTTCGACGAATGTTTTCTTACTAGCTATCGAATTATTCGAATGAATTGCAACTATCGAATGTTTCGATAGTATTCATTCGATAGTTCCCACTACTAGTGCTAACGCTTTAACCACGTGGCCACCGAGGACTTGAAAGATTCTATGTAAAATTCTTCCTTAAAAGATAATGTTTAGTGAAAGTACTTTTTTTATTTATAAACATTTATTTAATTCTGTTTTTAGTATTTGTTCTTATAGCGGCAACATAGATACATTATCTGTAAAAATTTCAACTGTCTAGCTATAACGGTTCATAAGATAGACCTTTGTGGTAGACGGACGGACGGACAGCGAAGTCTTAGTAATAGGGTTCTCGTTTTTACCCTTTGGGTACGGAACCCTAAAAATGATCAAAGTTATCAAAACCAAACTTCTTTTTTTGTTACTAACTTTTACCTTCTTTAGATTTTTGTAATTTTAATGCCACTTATGCCTATACAGGGTGAGTCTTAAAGTCTTAAATAGGTGCAAATATTTTAGGGGTGGTGTATTTCAAACTAAGAAACACGTCTAAGAGTTTGTTTCACAGAAAAAAATTGGTATTTTGCGAATTGGTATTTATTTTTAGTTAAAAACATAATATCTTTATAATATGGCAACATATTATAAAGATATTATGCAAGCAGTATGAGACATCTGTCATAAGCATTTAGAATATACTCACAGGCATCCACATTCCAATATCACCCGTATGATGCCATCCCAAATCATCTACAACTTCCTGAGTCTTGTCTGGATCTTTGAAATACCCTTGGAATACATTGGTGCCCTTCACGCACACTTCACCCTGGTTGTTCTTCGACCAGTATTCCATTTCCGGTACGTCACACAATTTGATACAGCAGCAGGCTAATGGCGGTCCTACGTGACCGGGAACGTGGTCTCCCTGGATCGTGAGAGTTACTGGAGCACAACATTCGGTTTGGCCATATCCTTCTACAACCTACAATGAAATGATATTAATTAATATCAATTATCTTTATATCATTCTGACGTGTCCATTTTCTATAATAATGTTTTTAAATTGAGGAATATTTCAATTTCTTGGCATTGGTTTTTAACACAACTTGTCCCTTTAACAAAAACTACAATTTTTGTTTTAAGTATTTAGTTTTTTCTACCTAATTTTAGCGCAAGTAAAAATGATACATTTAAAATATATAAAAACAAGACATTTAAAATATACAGGGTTGTTCACCACATACGACACGGAGTATTGTGGCTAAACGATTAGATTTTTGCAAATTGTCTTGGGTTCGTTGAAGGACTATTAGAGCTACAATTTAAAAATATTGTAGCATTAGAAGTTATAAAAAAATGATGGAATGTTTTTTTTTTATAAGAATTTTCTTTTAGAAAAAATATTAAAACAACTAATACTATGCGACGGAGCTGTTCGCCGGTGAGCAATGGGTCGTAAGCTAGTGAAAATTAAATTGTGATAATTACGTCTTTATAATATACTGGGCGCCACTCAGTTTTCCATTTACTTTCAAAACTTCTAAGTTGAGAACTGAGAAATCAACTCAGAATATAGGTATTACTTATTTTAGGAATTACACAAATGAAACGCTGAGATAAACTAACAACTAAATAGTATAATTAATAATTAAATGTTAATTAGAATAAAATAAGACTATGAATAATTTGATGTTTGAAAATGTTTGTTGGTAAAATCTATGTATTAAAATAGATCACTCAAGATGGTAGTTAAATCTGCACGCTTCTGAATATTAATATTTTATTAATTATTCCGCAAAAAGTCTGGCGATCTTGGTACCAAAATATAAGGACTCTTTATATTAAAAAAAACCGTACTATGTAGATATCAGAAATATGCATAACATGAATAAAATATTTCAAGTGACTCTAAAGTAATAAAATATCTAATATGCCTGAAGGGCTTAAAGCATTAAAGTGAACTTAAATTATATAATAAGAAATGATCTGGCCTTTTATATCCGTTCTGGTCACAAGCTGGTTGTGGTGAACTGCTGGAACTGGATCGTTATTATAACGTCTCCACACAGACAGGATCGGAAAATGCTGTATATTCAGGAGATTCCTCCGTTATTCAACGTGTATATTGTAGGGACAAACGTGGCCCAAATGTCAGATACAATAAACAAAATGGCACCAGAAATGCGTACCATAAAATAAAACCCTGTACAAATAGAAAAAAGGTATTAGGAAACGTTATGAAAAAAATAAAGGTCTTACCTCCGCTCAGAGGGTTTTCCCACACAAATTTCAAAAGTGACCAACAACTTCGACCGGACTGAAATAACTAGCCAGAAATAAACTTGTAGAAAAAATAAAAGATAATAACAATACTTATAATGCCATCTCGGTGCGAGGACTTAAACTTGAATTGTTTAAATAAAATAATTCTGTACATTTATTTAATTTGTGTAAATTTTAAATAAAATGCTACAATATTTTTACAAAATACAGAGTGCCCCAAATAAATAAAAATTATCAAAGTGGCATTTTTTAAATGAATCACCCTGTATATTACTCAATTTCTAGTTTCTACGATTAAAATAAAGATAAATTTGATTAAGGTTTATCACACTTAAACCTTACCGTTTTTGAAATATTTTCAATTTTGTGAAGTTGCAGTAAAAACTTTAAGGCTTCATTTCTCCAAGGGAATTAGTGTTTTTAATACTAAATAAACTTTAAGGCTTCATTTCTCCAAGGGTATTAGTGTTTTTAATACTAAATATTTGCTGAAGTTTATTTATTGATCAGTTATTGGGTTGCACTAATAAAAATAATATTATCTCATACAGACAGTGTCTAATACACAGTATCTAGCTTTAAACGGCAATATCTTGTTTAATTTAAATGGAACACTCTGTATATTTTAGGAGAATCAGATGCACAATTTAATTGTCTATCAAATTGCATTATACCACTTTTTACCTATCCCTTCAAGTTTTTGTGGAAAATGCATTTTCTTATAATTTAGACCTCATTTATCATATACCCATGGTATATTGACATTTTAGATTATTTTTAAAACAACAAGTGTACAAAATGTACTAAAAAAAGTGCCAAAAACGATAATGTTACTAGCCGATTTGTATAGAAAAATAAAACTATTTAAATCTTTATAAAAGAGTATACCATATCATCAAAAAGTATACCATTCATCAAAAAAATGAAACAAAATTTTTAAGATGTTTTTACAACATTGTCTAATACACATACAAAATTCAGTTTTTTAGTATTTGGAGCAATTATTATTTATCAACGCAAACAGTCAATTAATGTAGTTTGAATACTGGAATTATATTAATTGGTCCTCGTTAACAAATATTTAAACAGTTTTTATATTTTTTAATGAAATAAACGAACTATATCGACAGTATCGAGGTCTAAATTATAAGAAAATACATTTTCTACGAAAACTTGAAGAGATAAGTAAAAAATGGTATTATACAATTCGATAGACAATTAAATTATGCATCTGATTCTCATAAAATATACACGATGTTCCATTCGTAGAAACTAAAACTCTAATAATATTTTTTATTTCTTTGGGACACACTGTATCTTGTAAAAATATTTTTAAATTGTAGCTCTAGTAGTCTTGCAATGAACCCAAAACTTACAATTTGCAAAAATCTAATCGTTTAGCTACAACCCGTGTCGTATGTGGTGAACAACCCTGTATAAAGATATTTGCTTTGAAAAGTTAAGTCTTCGTATCGGTTAGGTAATAATGTGTAAAAATTGAGTCGAATAAACTTTTTTTGAGTTTTAGTAAAAAGTTTGTAAATTTCATATATTTTAATAAAAAATTGTCAGCCAATTTACATCAAATTTACTATGAAAATTAAAAAACACCATCTATATTTATTATCTTAAAAAGTATGTAATAAATAAAGATATAGGACTTACAACGCATCCCATGGCGCACCTAACAAAAGTAAGTACACTTTCTGCCAAAGGCGCAGACCCAACCAACATCAACCTCAGTCTACCACCCATACCTTCTTGCACTTTTCTAAACACTATCATGTCCCATATACTATTCTTCCTTACAATACCCCTAAAACATTTCAAAAATTATTTCAATATTGGTTATTTCTGATTTGTAAATTAATATTAACCTTTTCAGTTCACTCTCCTTAGAACTAATAGCCATATTAAACAACATTTTCTTGACACAGTTATTACTTATATCCGATTGGACCTTATCGTAAATCCTGTTGAGTAATCTCGGAACAGCTGGTGTCACTGTGGGTTTTAAAGCTTTCATGTCGTCGGACAATCTTCTTACGTCACCTAAGTAAAATCCTACAGCTCCGCCTTGCATGTACATAGCACTCTGAAAAAGTTGTATATAAAAATGAGTTTCGTTCATTAGTGGGTTTACAGACCTCACAACACCTTTCCATCATGTGAGCTAGCGGTAAAAATGACAACATGACGTCGTCGCTTCTTAGCCTATGATCGCCGAACTGTAAAACAACTGCACTCATAGAGGCTACTACGTTTTCGTGAGTCAACATGACTCCTTTAGGTTGACCTGTGGTCCCGCTCGTGTAGCAGATCGTACACAAGTCTGATGGCTTTGGAGGCTGTAATTAAACACATAGGAATTTAGAACAAAGAAGTAGCGAATGTCTTATATACGTAAAGTAATAACTAGATATGGTGTTTCAAATATTAGGACACTTTTGTGTGTCCTAAAACAAAAATCCGATTTTAAACGAGGAGTGTATCTATTTTTCTTTTGGTGTCCATAATTATGAATTATGGAAACCAAAGTTATATTTAAAAAAGGGATAGAAAATTAATAGACTTCTAAATTCCTTTGTACATGCAAGAACACCTACAGAAAGACAACACTAAAAACTAAAAAGTATAGGCCACATAAATCTAAAATTCAATACAATGGCTGGTTCAAATCCAATCATGTCTCATACTCTTAGATCATAGCTGACTTTGGAAAGTCAGCTGATCGTAAAAAAGTAATCAGTCCGAATAAAGTGGACACTGGACAATAGTCTCTGACTTCTAAAGACTGACGACTGACTCTTGAACTGGAGTCAGGGAAAGTTGTGAAAGAGGAAAGCATTGTTCACTTCCAAGGAGAGAAACCATCTATTAGCATCATTAGAATGCTTCTGCGAGAAGAAATCTGTACAGAACTAGTTGTTAATATAATACCAATTTAAAAGTGTTTTAGTAGTTTTAATACACTCAATGATATAAAATTTATTATTATTATAATGTATATTATTAATACTATTATTCATTCGAAATGGCATTAAGGCCCAATTGCACCAATGATTTAAATTTTTCTTAAAGATAAGTAGAGCTTAGAATGAGATGTATTTATATTTACTTTAATATTCACCAATGAGGGAATTTGACTGATACAATTTTTCAATTTGAATTGTTTTTAATGATACTAACAATTTTAGTTCAATTTTTAATAACATTTATTTAATATTAATAGAAATCCAAGAGATTTGAAAGTTCTTTTAGCGATTTATAACATTCTCAAATGAATTACCCGTGCCCTTATTTTCTATGAAAACCACACAGCTTTTTTCATAGTCGCAGCAGTTGCTATAGCTATAATAAACTATTTTTTTAGTTGTGAAAATGTTTTGACACACGCTAAATGGACTTGATTTTTCCTATGTCTCGAAGTCTGTGGACTTTTCTGTATATAGAGAGAAAAAAGGACTAGAAAATAACTATACGTTTAATCAAATATCCAGCAAAATAGATATCGATTACCAATAACAGAAAACAACTGAAGAAAACTTCTGTTTCCTATATTAAGACGTACTCCAAAAGAGTTTTATGCTATCTCTGAAATCGGTATACAGTAGCACAGTCGAGTTAAGAAAAAAACTAAAAATATTTTCTTATTTTTTCTACTTACAACTTCTGGATTATTTGACTTTGAACCTAGCACTTCTACGTCGTGTAACTTCAGAATTTCTATTCCCATATTCTTAGCTCTCTGTCGCGTAGCTGGCCGAATGTCCTTAAAAACTATAAGTTTCTTTAAACACCTAGGCGATTTCTCCAATAGAGAATTACACTTGGCGTCATCCTCAACTAGGATAACTTGAATTTCCGCTGAAAAAAAAAGTACAATAATTAATATATGTTTGATAATAACTAGAAAGAAAGGAATAGTTTACCATGCTTGGTAATATAAGCACAGGCATCTGCTCCTAATGTGTCGTACAAAGGTACTATAACCATGCTATAGCAATAAGCTGCCTGTTCTATCAAGATCCATTCCGGACAGTTGATGGCGTATATTCCAATCATGGTGCCCGTGCCAGGTTTCAAGCCGACTTCGACCAATCCTGAGCCCAAGTTTCTGGCTCTGAGTAATGCCTCGTTGTAGGTGAGCCATTGGTAAGGTTTGGAGTATGATTCTCTCCATCCTAGACATGGTCCATTATCTAGTAAGAAAAGAAATTCGTATAAAATTTTTGATAAAATCAATTGTGTAAATCAAAAATATTAATAAGTATATTAGTAACACAGAGAAGAAACAGGGGAAAACATATGTGTAGGCTTAGAAGAAATTGGTTGAAGATGATCTCTGAAATACTTAGAAGAATAGATTAAATAAAATCAAGGAATCAGGATAAATGGTGTACTAGGTGCAGGGCCGGACTTAACGAAGTTGCCGCCCCAGGCTAAAAAATATTTGCCGCCCCTTAACATTTTCTTTAATTAAAAAAATTACGGATATAAAAAGCATTTATTTGAATACAGGACCAACAACAGAATAGACCGACAGAATAGATCAACACAGAACATAAAATAAATATTAAAATATTCATATAAAATGACAACAAACGAACAACAAAACTATAAGGTTTGCTTATATGCCTATAAAGTTTTCCTACGTACTTTTTTGTTCGCAAAATTATCAACTACTTCATCGTAATTGATAGTTTTTAAAAGGTCGGACTCAATATGTAAAACTGCCAAATGATTTAGACGTTTTGTTTCCATAGTGGACAGTAAAAAAGTTTAATACGTTTCAATGCAGAAAACGAGCGTTCAGCAGAACAGTTAGTAATAAAAGTACATGTGAAGATTCTTAGTGCTATGAAAGTATTTGGAAACAGGTCTTGAGCGTTTTTTTCATAAATTACTTTTTGTCATACGCTCCCAAAAACAGCTATTTTACGGACTCATTTCAGTCCGTAAAATGTTTCTTTTTCGGCCTAGGCCGTAAAGGTCGTCATGGCAACCTTTATGGACTAAAATGTCTAAATTCGTTATTTGGTTGTTTTATTTTGTCATTCGAAATTTGTCACAAAATCACATAAAATTATACATATATTTATAATTAAATTATTAAATACTAACAATATCAAAAGCTAAGTTATTTGTTTAAAGTAAGTACCTAGGTACCTTTAAAAGAGGCTTTTAAATTAAAAATATTCTTAAATTACAGTCACAAACAAGACATAATCATGTGGTACATTTTTGGCCTAAGACAAGCATATTTTCTATACAACTCAACTGGATTGACAACGTTCCCTTCGTTCACCACCGGAAACACTCTTTTTTGATATTAGTTTTTTGTATCCGCAAGGGTAACTAAAAGGCAGCTGTTGTCTTTTCTATGATGTCTTGCACTCGTAGAGAGTACAATTCTTCTCTTCTACATGCTCCACAAAGGCCAATGACAAGAGCTACCTAAAAATCAAATACAATGGAATAAGAAACCATCTATATATTTTAAAAATCATTATCGCAAACTTACCTTAGTAAGTAAATAAGTTTCATCACTAGCCGTGGCCCAAAAAATCACCGATCTTTTATGGACAAAACCTTAGACTTTTTAGGCTCGTAACCAACCGAATTCCTCTTCAAAAAGCAATAAGTTTTGGAAATTTGTCAATATAAATATCTTCTTTAACACTTAACACTGCTCTCAGCATGGAATATTTCGACCAAATTGACGATGGTTTGAATGTTTGTGACTGTAATTTAAGAATATTTTAATTTAAAAAGCCTCTTTAAATAGGTACCTAGGTACTTACTTTTTCGTGGAAATAATTTAGCAATACATCTTCATTTACAACGAATACGCCATTTTGTCTTTCCATTCATTAAAAACATCATATTCTTTCTGGTAAATGGCACGAGACTTCACAGGAAACAAATCCAACACGATTTCTTTGGCCTTATTAGCAATATGTTCGGGATTTTGGAACATTTTAAAATTGTTGATGAATTTGTGTGATTTTGTGACAAATTTCGAATGACATGTCAAAATGCGATGAAATAAACAAACTCGTTACTAAGATATGAATTTATAAGCCAACTTTTTTCAAACATTATAATTTCAAATATGGAAAATTTGCAAATATGCGTTCTAAAAAACTGTAAAAAGCGTATGACAAAAAATAGTGTATGTAACACGTACCTAAATTATGTTTTTTAGGACTCATCTACTATTTCGGACTCGGCTAACGCCTCGTCCGCAAACAGTAATGATTCGTCCTAAAAAACATCATTTTAGGTACTAGTTACATAAATAGCTATTAAGAAGCTCTCTAGCAGATGGTTTTGCTGACTTAATGCATTTTATAAATTCACGAAAATGTATTAATTCATTAGGCATTGACTCATCTAAATAATTTGGATAACAGGTTATTAAATGTCTGGACTTATCGGTAATGTCGTCAATACTTAAAGTAGATAAATCACTAAAGAAACCAAATTTGGTTGAAAAGTCATTGTAGGCACTTTTCCTGTAGGAAATTTCAAGGATTAATTTATCAATAATAACATTAAATACATTTATCATTTATCCTAAAATCGTCCCTAGCGTTAAATAGAGTTTCTTTATCACTGGTTTCATCAAATTGTCGTTTCCGTTTCACTTTTCTCTTTTTATCTGCCGCATATTCTTTCTCACCGAACAATTCTATGGTCCTTCTTTCATATTCCCCAAATGATTTGGTATTATCTAGATTTCTAATTTCGGAAAAATATTTTTCCAATGAGCTATATAAATCTGCAGCAAGTTGTAGATCAATATCCACCATTTGAAGCTTTTTATTGACCGCATCTAATCTATTTAAAACGTCTGTCCAAAATACCGCCATAAAACCCATTTCTAGGCTTTTGAATTGTTTAAGGAGACTAGAAGCATCTAATCGGGTTTCAGGCTTTTTGGTATCGTCTTCAGAAATTGACTCCAAAGTGGATTTTATTTCATTGGAAGACAAAAATAGTGATTGGCAAGCCTCATTTCGTGCAGACCAACGTGTTTTTGATAAATTTTTTAATGTTTTTGAATTTATTTTTTTATATTCGAGGTATTTATGTATTTATTAACTGGATGCATGGCACAATGCAGTAAAAAATAACCCAAGCGAATTATATATTTAAACAATAATAATAGTTAAGTAAATAAATATGTAATCGGCTAAGGCTATATTCGAAATATTTTATGAACAAATAAAAGTTAAAAAAAGATACATATTTTGGTATGCTCAAAATTTACCGCCCCTAAAAATCTGCCGCCCCAGGCCCCGGCCTAGTTGGCCTAGCCCTAAGTCCGGCACTGTGAATATAGTTAATTATAATAATCGAGAACAGAAGTTCACAGTTGTTTATAAGAAAACCTTTTTGTTATATAAATTCTGTATTTATTGTGTTTATTTTAAATAAACATTACTTCTTTTATTTATACTTTATTCGAGTTCCAAAAAACCATTTTCAAAAAAAATTATACAATTGACATAAATATAAGCTACTGAAAATATCATCAATATCATCTGCCATTAATATATCATGATAAACTAATTCGCTGACATAAGAGACCGCTAAAATTTTTATACATTTTTCGCTAAAAATAAAAATATACTACAAAGCCCACGGGTATTGGAAAAACAATTTTAAAAGCTTTGATATCTGTAATATATAATCCTCTGATATATATATATAATCCTCTTAATATTTTCACAAGCATATGTTTCAATCAGTCAATATTCTTTTTTTTTGTGATACCTTTTCATCACAGTCAGTTGGATACTTATTTAAAGTGTTTTTTTAAATAAATTATTAATAATTATCTCTTCTACCAGTAAAATCTATTAAATATATTATTGACACACTGTATTGTCTTTTTATAAACTTTAATATATTTCTATATCCCGATTGTAGCGTTGCAATTTCTTGATAAGCCCCGAGATAAGCTTACCATTGAAGCCACTAAAGTTTGTTTTTTCTTAAATATTTTTATATTTTATTTTTTTCATTATAAAATAATTGAAGTTTCAATAATTCTCCAAGGGTGCTTTCAAAACAAGTACTGAAAATGGACAACAGAAATATTTATATTGAAGCAAAAAGCTTCTGGATTGGATATCCAGGCAAGAGATTTTTTATTTGCTATTTTTTTATAGAAGACTGCTCAACCAGTAAAAGATATATTAATGTCTATTGTCTAATATAACATTAATGTGTATATTATGTGTATTTTTGGTGAGAAACTAATTACAGGAATTTTTGTGAAAATAAAGTTGTTAAAACAAAAATAGAAAATCATGTCTGTTTTTCTATACAGTTTAAAGGCAAATAATATCTTAAGACACATATTTCAGTGGAATTTTAATTGAAAACAACTTCTCTTAATCAACAACCAAAAGCTTAAAGCAAAATATACTGACGATCAAAGAATCTAATAAAAATAAAATAAGAGAACATTAAAAACATAAAAACTACTCTTTAAGATTGGATACAAAAAATAAGGGGAGACAAAAGAATAATTAAATTAATAATAACATGACATACTTAAAATGTAAACAGGAAGTTGGTAGACAGGAAAGTAAACCAAGCAATCCAAGATCTAAATTTAAAATTCTATTATTTTCAAACAAAAATGAGGAATTTTAATTTCGTATTCCTTTTTGATTATTTAATGTGCTTTATTTCCGATAGTGAGTGATATTGAATGTTGAATTACATTAACTGCTAAAAACTTTAAAAACACCGACTGAAGTTATATTTACTGGAAAACAAAACAAGCTGTCATTATAGTTTACGAATATATGCCACCAAACGATTCTTTTTCAATTATTAACAACGTTGTTTATTTCTAGTAAAAGCATTCTATCGAAAACTAAGAACAAACATTAAAGCTCAGAAAATAGATGAACTAAAAATTAATAGAAACTCTAAATCATAAAACACATTAACTATTTATAAAAAAAACGCAAAAAGTATATTTTTCACAGGTTTGTTTACATATCGATTCTTGCTCAATCATTGAAGTAAAGTGACATGCCAGTTAGATAAACTGGATTTTCCTTGATTTAAGAACAATCTTCGGATTGTCACGGGGTTTCTACCAGGACACTGTCTCCTCAACGAACACCTTAGTAGGCTGAAGCTGAGAAACAACGGCGAATGCAAATTCTGTGGAGAA